GAATATGTGTTTCGCAAAAGGCATCAAGATTCTTTGATTTTGACGTAGACTTTCGCGGGCCTGATTTGGTATCCGGTGCAAGCGTTGCGAGTGTGGTAAACCCGTTGTAAAACGGCTTCTTTCTGACTCCTTCTTGATCAGCCGCTAACAAGAGAATTTCAATAGCAATGCCCGTTATGTCCAGCGCGACCCAGGACTCCAGTCTGTTATTGCTGCCGTCACGAATAGCTGGTTCAACAGCAGCCAGTGTTTCCATTGCAGTGCGTTCAACATCAGGCACAGGTTGTGACAGAAGCAAAGCTAGGATCTTGGCAAGATTGACTCTTGGATACGTCAATACGTCGACAACAGCAGCCTTTCGTGCTTGAGCAATCTTCTCAATGATATCTCTCCTCTTACTCAATACAAGATGGGGTAGTGTATCCGATTGGGTTTGCACAAGGAGTTGACGAACGCTTTGTTCAGTTAGATCTGCCAATTGCTGTGCCTTCTGGGGTTTGTTGACAATATCCTTGATGACGGAAAATCCGATAACTTTCCAGTAGGGGCGCAACAGCTGTGTCGTATCCATGGAAAGTCCTTTGGCAATTGACTCGAGCTCACGGTAAGCCATACCACACACCAATGCGTTCGGGTGACCAAGGTATTCGACGAGATGATGCAATATGATTGGAAGCTCCAATTCACCGCATGTTTGAGCAATTTGGCCATAAGCCATGATTAGCGTCTCCTGATCGGATAGAAAATCTCTCTTTGCGAGTGCATCGAGAAACTCTATAGTATACCTCCGATTCTTTTCGCGGGTACTTCTCGAAATGTCGTTGCGAAGAAAAACCATAAGGGAGTTCGCAGCTGCAATTTTCAGCTCTCGCAGAGATCTGCTCATGCATGCAAGCAACCATTGTCCTAGCCCGCAATCCTCAAGAGCTAAATATTCAGCATCTGAGATATGGTTGTATACACGGCCAATAGCCACAGCCATGAGAATTTTTGATCGTGGCGATGCTTGAAATTTTTCTTCCCTAGCGATTGCAAGCATAGCAGCAATGACATCTTTCCAGTTTTCCGAGCGATCCACGAGGTCCCAATAAGAATTTTCACTCCGTGCTTGCTGGTTATTGATATCACACAAGGTGCAAGTAAGAGAATCCAATGAATGCGGCGTGAACCGTGGCGATTCCAGAGATCGCGAACTAGCGCAAGCAACTCTTGCCAATGCTGTGATAATTTCTTTCTGCGCACTCTCATTTTTCTGCTCGTCGTCCGGTATAGAAAAGTATCTCGTCCTATACAAATAAGTATCGTGTAAGAAGTAAATTAGGTCAACTTACTGAATAAGATCCTGTGCATTAGACAAGAAGAGCACCGGGGAATCATGTATGCTACCGTTCAAACTCATCATAATTCGCCTAAGAGCATCCTGGTTGACGTCTTCTGAAGATTCTGGCAACTTTTTCCGTCGCTTGGCTGGTCTGTCTCCGTCACCCAGGTTCAAGGCTCGGAATGCCTTGACAGCAGACATTGATTCCTCGGAAAGTTGAGCATCAGAGAAACTGCCAAATTCATTCTCACAAAGCTCCTTTCGTAGATTTGCAACTTGCATAGACTGTATATCTGGGGAGGTCCAAAGACAAAGTGCCAGCTTGATTTCGTCAGTCAAAGAACGTACTAAGTGAGGATTGCGTACCTGCAAGTCTTTATGGAGCTTTACAAAACACTCTTCATCTTGGAACAGCCTGTCCACAGCATGCTCGACTTCGTTCTGAATAACATGTCTGGTTGAATCTTGTCGTCGTCGCGGGATCGAGTTGTCAATTGGTTGATATCCGAGAATGCTGCGCAGGCGAGTGAATATAGATGCTATTCGGATCTGAACAACTTCTGATGTCTGCGTAGCAGACAAGCTATGGAGGAGTTCTATAAGACTGCTGGTGAGCACTTGAGCGATCTTCGACGAAGCTGGCGCCCGGTTTCTAGGCGTGACCGAAGAGGTCAATAATGACTCCAACAGTTGCATGTATACGAGCATAATCTCATCATAGATTGCGCGTCTCTCCGAAGATATCGTCCAACGTCTGTAGTGTCGCCACAAACCCTGTACGCTGTCCACGATCCAGGGTAAATAATGCTCCAGGGTAACCAAGGTTGAAAGCGCCTTGCTTTGAGGATGTATAGTATCTACCAATGCAAGCAAGAGGCAAAATCCTATGTGAATAGCCCCGTGATGAGACGAGATGGCCCGCTGTAGATCATGAGGCAATGCAACGAGCTGCTGGCTTTCCGGCCAGAAGCTGTTGACAGCGCTTGATGATGGTAGAACTAGACTGAAAGACGACGCTGGTGGTGAATCCGGGTTGTCCAAGGCCTCAAGTTCCGAAACGATACCTGGAAGTGGTTACAAAAATGTGTTGAGTTAATGGAAATCGCTTACATTGTATGCAAGATCTGTAGAGCTGCAGCACTGTTGCGGCTGGACGCCATAGCGAAGAAGTCTGAGTCAATGCATTGAGACAAAGATGCAAAAGCTGCTGGACATGCTTATGTACAGGTTGCAGTGTCGTATGTGTCAACAAACCAAGCAGCTTCGGATACAGCCAGAGGATGAGCGGAGGACCAGGAATGCTCTCGTCGTCACCCTGTTTGATGCTCACAAGCAGATGTGGCTTCTGCTGCAAGATAAACATAAGGGCCGCGATGCTGTCAATCCCTTGCTGCCTTTGTTGATCTTGAGCAAATGGGTCATCTTTGAAAAGGCCCTCAAGCCCTGCTTCGGCAATCACACATATGAGTGCAACCAGCTGGGGGTCAGGCTCATCCGTGTTTGGGTGCTGTAAGAACTCTTTGACCAACTCGCCAAATGTGACTTTGGTAGCTTCATCGCGTTGCGCGTTGACATTTGAGGCATTGTGAACAATCTGGGCAGCAATAGTCGACGGTGGAGGGATGCCATTTGAGTGCCCACTTGTCATAGGCGGCGGAGCCATACGTTGAGTCGAGCCCCCGCCTTTGCGGGCCATGATGGACGCCACTTTACCGATATAGCATGACTTGGGAACGTAGAAGAGAAGATCGAGGCTCCTTCAAGACCATCCACACTGAGAATACCGGTAGAAAATTCGTGGACTCTCGGATACTATCGTTGACGACCAAGGTGGCGTATGATTGGATGCTGGAAGACTCGTAGTTGAATGTTGCTGTCAATGGTTGCCTGGGGGCGGCAATATTGTCTGGTCTCTCGTTTCTAGTTTGGCCTGATCTTGTAAATTTTGTCGCTCTACTGTTGTGAGCGATGGCGTATGGTGGAAGAGCAATGCATACCAAAGAGGGACGTGGGTGGGATTACGTGAGGCGCGTGTGGGACAATTCACGTAGTCACGGGACGCCGCCAAGTCCTGTCTCGGGAAAGAGCGCTGCTCCGCAACTGCACTGCATCATCCATCTTCAGTTCCGACAGAACTTGCGGGCCCGCCTCCCGATCCGAGAACACGGCACATCACCTTGAACTCATATTACTGAACTTCCTGTCTGTCCGCTAGGGCCTAGCCTTGACAAATCCGAGCCATGCCAGGCCCCTTCACATCCAAGTCTTTCAGCGCCACGCTGCCCAACTCGCTTGCAGCGCGATACCGTAAATCGCTTCAGAAGCACCCATTCCTACTTTTTGGGCTGCCGTTCCTCACTACCATGGTGGCGGGGTCTTTCATGCTGACACCCGCCACGGCACTGCGATACGAACGATATGACCGCAAAAACCAGCAGATCACACAAGAGCAAGCAATGGGCCTCAGAGGGGAGCGGAGAAAGGTCAACATGCGTGATGAATACTACGTATGTACAGTATCGATATAGGATTTCAATGGCTTGAGCTGACAAATTTGCAGCGGTTGCAAGCGAAAGATCTTGAGGACTGGGAGCAGAGGCGTGTTAAACGACTACCCGGCGAACCGGACGGCACGCTTGTATAAGCCTCTTCCTCAAAACGCATTAAATTCGCATACTCACAGTCGGACTTGGAGATGCAACATTGCTGCTTGCACAGCATGCCATCTCACAGCCACGCTCACCTTGGTTTCTGGAATACACGATCGTGATAGTAGAATATCGTGAAATCATCACAAAAAGTTCGGCTCACTTCGAATTCTTCCAGTAATTCATTGTCGTAGAGAATGAGAGAGACAGGGGATTTGTTTTGCAAGAATTATGTGTTGAAGCACATACTAAAGTGGTTGCGCTCCCAGATTATGGAGAACGGCAAGCGATGAGAATAGCTATGCGGCCAGTTGAAAAGGGTTGGCAGTTTGGGTTTGCGCAAGGACGAAAGAGTACGCGTTTGAAGACTGGTCCTCCTTTATCGAAGTGAGATTAAGTATGGATTGGTTATTGAGATCCAGGCGCTAGGCTGTTGAGCTATGAGTCCTTGTTCGGTTGTATGCATACAACACGCCCAAGACTAGCGGATCGTGATGATGCAACAATGACCTTCGCCTTCTAGGAGATGAAACCGCAAACGGATGTTCAATGCCCGGATCGCTTACAGGGAATGTAGTCACCAACAAATCTGCGATAAGTACATAGACTGATATGATTGTCAATGGTATTCCAGGTTATTCTATCTACTACCTCTTCAGCATGAACTCACGCGACAACTATAATTCGCGGTTCCGGATCCAACCATCGCAATATGTACAAGCTAGTGAAGCAACATTGTACGCCGATATAGACCAATAGGATCCTCTTACCATCCTATCAAAGATACAAAGACAAGGCTATGAGCATAGCATGCAACAATATGACTAAACGAAATGAGAACAGGTATATGCCGGATATGCGTGAAAACTCGTAAGCAGCCGAGTAAGAAAGCGCCATAAACACCACAACATAAGATGTACCCAGTGCTTGCATGTAAGGGAAAAGAAAACAAAGGAATCGTAGTCCAGGATGCAGCCCTCGCTCTAGGGATAGATGAAATAATGAAAAAGCTTATACCAAGCGCACATTGCTTAACTAAACATCCACTGACAGTGGCAGGCGTCTGGTGGGTCGGCACGTCTCTGCATTTCAGAAGGGCTTTGACGTTTGTCCTTATTTGATGGGGCATTGCTGGGCTGAGCAGCAAGGAACTCTTCGTAGCTCGGATCTGCCTCTTGCAACCATATTCTGATTGGACTATCGTTTGGACCTGGTGCTGTCGTAATCTCTCCATTGTCTAGTAGAACCATCTGTTGACAGTACGGTTGTGGCGAGTCGGCGAGGCGGCGCTCCTCAATCTTGACAGTACGCGGGTAAGGTGGCATACGCGACGGAGGATCATCGGAGGACGTATCTCGTCGACTGACACGAGCAGAAGCAGACGGGGTTGGCTTAGCAGTCTCCATTATATCCACTGAAACAGTGTCTGTTGTTGTTGCCGTAACGGTCATGGCCTCGATGGAGACGGTTTCCAGGGTGGAAGGGGTGGGGGTAGGCCATTCAGTAGGAAAAGACGTAAATGAGGCTGCCGTCGAGTTGTCCTGCACGTAGATATAACCCTCAATATATGTGTCATTCCAGTAACAGTACCAGGGAAAGTCACCAGGTTTCACCTCGAATCGTTGCCTATATTTTACGTCTTGTCGTGTCGTGAATGCTGACCCAAGGTTGAGTTGCTCTGGTGGCAGGATGACCAGCTTGTCATACCGAGCAGAAAAATGGTAAGCCGGGCCATAAGCCTTGAAATCCAGGTCAAGCACGAGGCTGAGTGGCTTCTTGTCTAGCGTGGGGGTTTGGAGGCCATAGAGGATAGTTCCCTTTGGTACAGAAGGACCAGCGCCCATGGATGCTACCTGTATGGTATCGCCATCCACGGTAGTTTCGTTGACCGTTATAACGAGGGGAGCAAAGGTCATTTTGCACGACCATGCAGAGTATTGATTTGCTTGAGTTAAACATCCTGGAGTACTCTCTTGCGGCATGCCCATAGGAAGTGCGAAAGGCCCTGTGGGTATTGAGGCCATACCAGAGGGGGCCGAGATAGGGACAGCGTCAAAAAGAGATCCGTTTTGACCAGTGACCTGCGGTTGGCTACTCGAAGTCAGCAAGTGGCAATTGTCAGATAGCTAATGACTTACGCTTCCTCATGCGGGTGACGATTTCCCTCCTCATTCTCGTCAGTGATTTGTTTCTTCGTAGCAATGGTACCGATTGCAGCTCCGAGGGCGATGGCAAGGATTATGGTAGCTATTAGAATTGCGAGGGCAAGGCCCATTGGAACTTTGCCCCATAACTTCCTCTTCCGCCAAGGTGTTTTCTCATCAGCCAGCTCCGATTTCTCCAAAAACTGGTTCTCATTCGCCAACAATGACGCAGATGAAGAGTCTGAAGGTTCAGCTGGTATGGTGTGGTTGCTTGATGGGGCAGTGGAGGTAGTGGGTGCAACATTGCCGGTTTGAGTTTCTGGTCTTTGAGGTGGCAGACGGGCGGGTGTGACGGAAGGCAAGAGAGGAGCGGCAGGAGTAGCAGCGGTTGAGAGGGAGGATGCAGAGAAGGATGTTGAACCCAGTGGTGACACGGGAGACGGCGGAGAATTGAAAGGGTCTTCTGGATCAACTTGGGCGGGTGCAGGAACTACACGCGACGCGCTTGCCTCGGCAGCCAAGGACGCCTTGGTTGGACCTTCTTCTGGATATCTTGAGTACGGGGGAAGCTGCTCTGTGTGGCCGTCTGGTCCAATGATGTCCTGCTCCTCGCCATCGGGCCCAAGCACTCGATGGTAGCCATTGTTTAAACCCGGGAATCCAACGGGAATAGCCGATTGTACCGGGGGCGCAGGTGGCCGTGCGGGCTCTTCTGGTGGTTCCTCGTCGACAATTCCACTCTGCGAGTACATGGCATACGGATGAGTGGGCCGTTGTAACGACATGGATCGATGTGGCTGTCGCTCTGTCGAGCTCGTCGCCACACTCAATGGCCGCGCCATGGATAGCTGCGGATACATGCCATATGGGTGGCTGGGTCCGGTCTCGAAAGGGTTTTCCGAGTTGCTTGTTGTCGCAAAAGACGCCGTAGAGCTCACCGAGTCGCGATGCGTATGTCCCAGGGGTGACCGTTGGCTGGATCCCCTGTTGAGCGGCGATCGGCCATCTTGCGTCATGGGATCGTGTACTTTAGCGGTGCTGTTCCGCGTAGCCGTCCTCCGCAAATCTGTGCTGTTGGGTTTTGACGTGGACGTCTGTCGTTGCGGTGTAGCTATCCGGTCGTGGTCCTGACGGTCGCTGTGCCACGTCTCGGTAGTGTTGGCTGGCCGAAAGCCGTCCGAAACTGAGGGCATGAAGTCATCTTCGCTCGGATCGATTTCGTTATCATCATCGAAAACATCGGGTTCGCTCGAGCGCCGCGATGGCTCGTTATCGTCACTGTTGCGTCTATCCATGGCGCTGAACGGTCGTCCCTGAGAGCCACAGAGGCTCTGACCCCCCTGCCGGATCTCCCAAGCAGCGATTCAAGCTTCTCTCCGTGAAATTCTGGTAGTAATGGCGCGCTCGGAAGCGATCGGTCGTGTGCGGATAGCGAATGTGGTGCGGTTTTTGGTGTGTGTCGTGTCGTGATGTTGGGGCTGTGTGCGGAGAGAGGGCGCATCGGGCAGGTTTGGAACTTGGAAGTCTGAGACGCCACTAGTCCCAAACCGGCCGCTTAGCACGAACACCCAGTCCTGTGCCTGCATCACTCGACAAGGCCGCGAAACTGAGGACACATGCCTTTGCCAGCCCCTCTCCCAAATGCTATAGCGATTGCCAATGTCTTATTTTCGCTACACATACACGCAATGGCACATTTCCGCCTGCTTGCTTGAAATCACTGGGATTACTCGGTCCCGGGCCCAACAAGTACATGGGGGGCATGCCATATGTGCACTGCTGCCTCAACAGACTCTTCGCTTGCAAAGTTCAGAGGCTACTCGCAATACACAGCTTTGTCGAGTGAGTGCGATGGTTTTGTGCTGACATACAATGTATATGTACAGTACATACACTACGGTGACGGATGGACATATATATAGACATATATGCATGTACATGGGTGGCGAATGGTGGCACTCCGGACGTGCGCTTCATGACTTCTGCATATTTAACAGCCTCCCCATGTGCAGCACGCCATTGAAAGGCGATACAGTGTGTTGGGGTACAGTGTTCGCATTGTTTCACGTCGGTCACTTTCTTGATTAGCATTGCGGTCTTACCCGGTGCATTCTGCCTTAGTGGGGTGCAGGCCGTTGCCACCCTGTCCCTGTTTTCAGTGTACTAGTGATTCTCGAGTTCATCACTCCTCATTGTCCACTATACTTTTATGCAAACAAAGATGTATGTGTACTCAAGATAATAGCAGAACAACTCATGTGCATATATGCGATGGATTTTCATCATAATGTTGCAACAGACTGACGGATCGAGATCAGAAGGGATCTTATATGGATGCTGCTTGGTGTTGGTGATGTGCGGTGCTGGTTGCGCTGGCAGCGCTCGTGCACTGTGCGCACAATGGATCCCGTCGGTGTACATTTCATCCGCCACTTTTATGGAATTACTGCTTCCGTAACATCTGCTCAACACTCATAGTACATCAGTGACAGTCTACACAAGGTCAGGTTGAGTGCTTTTCAGGTTGAGTGGATGTATATCGGCAATTGCCTGATGCTTTGACCATCCGATAACCATATTTACCCTTCCTGGACGATTTCCTATTGCCTTAATCTGTTTCGGGGAGAAAGCCGTCGCAGGACTACGTCCAACTCCGATGACATGTACGTCGGCCATCCGGGAAATGCTGCTACATGCTGGCTGTTAGACTGCAACTGGATGCGACTGGATGCAGCTGGACGTCTCGCTTACGAGCAGCCGTGTTATGCGGGCTGTGAGGCTACGTGCTAGCCGACTACTATTGCAGACAAGCTTCGTAGGATTAGAGGGCTGTTCGGTTCCCGAAGTAGGTGGTCTCGAACAGGTACCTGTTGTCTCTGGTTGCTTACAGACCTGGACCTGGTTACAGGTGTGGCTACATGCTTGACAACTTAGACAGTACATGGCGTGGCTGGCGGCAAATCCCCGAATGCCAAGCACATATCTGATAAGCTGTCGGGTAGTTTTGCTCCCTCGAAACGCCTTGCCCTGAGTGTTGGTGGCACGACAGCAACTCTGGCCGAAAGGGGGTGTCAAGAAAAAGGAAAAACACCCGTCCTTCTCGCAGCGTCAGTGACGCAGACGAGGGCGCTGGCAAAGGAGCCGCATGGTTTCTTTTTTGGAGAAACCCCGCAACAGGACAGCGACATTGATGTTCCCTGTAAGACCCTTGAAACTTTGTTGTGAAAATCCGCCGACAACAATGACAGCGCGTGGGCCGTCGACGGGGTTAACAGCCAAAGGCCGCACAAATTCATTACTCGCCCCCTATCGAGCCATGCTCTTGACCTCTTGCTAGCATTGCCACATCCGGATCGCCGCTATTACTGTTGGGGCCCTTTTCCACTTTACGCGTAGCATCCTCTTCCTTCAACTACTTAAACCAGCGGTGTGAACTCCCCTCTTTTCTGCCCACACAATCTCTTCCTACTCCATCCCCACCACGTCAAAACACTGCAACCATGGCTGCTCGTCCCTCCAACATCGGCATCAAGGCCATTGAACTCTACTTCCCCAGCCAGGTACACTACTTCCACTCCCTGCGCATGCGACAGGCCTCCTCGCCCCGTCACGCGTCCAGATTGCTGCAACACCCGCTAACCAGTCTCCCTGCAGTGCGTTGACCAGACTGAGCTCGAGAAGTTCGATGGCGTCTCCGCAGGCAAGTACACTATTGGTCTCGGCCAGACCAAGATGTCCTTTTGCGACGATCGCGAGGGTGAGTTGTACCATTCCTGCCCTTTGGCATTACTCGTTCCTGGACACAAGACTGATCTTCCACCTCCACAGACATTTACTCTCTCGCCCTGACCACCGTCACCTCCCTCTTCAAGAAGTACAAAATCAACCCCAAGGACATTGGCCGCCTCGAGGTCGGCACGGAGACGCTGCTTGACAAGTCCAAGTCTGTCAAGTCCGTTCTCATGCAGCTGTTCGAAGAATCTGGCAACTACAACGTTGAGGGTATCGACACTGTCAATGCATGCTATGGAGGAACAAACGCCCTTTTCAACTCGGTCAACTGGATCGAGTCGTCGGCATGGGACGGCCGTGACGCTATCGTCGTCGCAGGAGATATTGCGCTTTACAAGAAGGGTGCTGCCCGCCCCACTGGTGGAGCTGGATGCGTGGCCATGCTCGTTGGTCCCAACGCGCCCCTCGTCATGGATGCCGGCCAGCGCGGTTCTTATGTTAGGCACACATACGACTTCTACAAGCCTGACCTTAAGAGCGAGTACCCCATCGTCGATGGTCATTTCTCCCTTCGCTGCTACACTGAGGCAGTAGATGCCTGCTACAAGGCTTACAACGAGCGCGAGAAGACTCTCAAGGCACGCCAAAATGGCAATGGCGTCAACGGAAGCAGCCACGAGCTCGAGACTCCTCTGGACAGGTTCGACTACATGGCTTTCCATGCGCCAACCTGCAAGCTTGTCGCCAAGTCATACGCGCGTATGCTTTACAACGACTACCTTGTCAACCCCACCAACCCTCTCTTTGCCGAGGTTCCCGCTGAGCTCCGCGACCTCGACTATGCCACTTCCATCAGCGACAAGACTGTCGAGAAGACATTCATGGGTCTTGCCAAGAAGCGCTTCGCTGCCCGCGTCCAGCCTAGCATCCAGGTCCCAACCGAGTGCGGCAACATGTACTGTGGCAGCGTCTACGGTAGCTTGTGCAGTGTACTCGCCAATGTCAACAGCCAAGATCTGCAGGGCAAGCGCATTGGCCTGTTCAGCTACGGAAGTGGTCTGGCCTCTTCCCTGTTCTCCTTCACTGTCAGGGGCAGCACCGAGAACCTTACTAAGCAGCTTGACATTCACAACCGCCTTGCCAACAGGCGCGTAGTAGCCCCCGAGGTTTACGATGAGGTGAGTTTGGACATGCTATGAGATTGTTTTTGAATTGTATGGCTAACTATATCTGTAGATGTGCAACCTCCGTGAGCAGGCCCATTTGCAAAAGGACTACACTCCCAAGGGTAACCCCGAGACCATTTCATCCGGTGTTTACTACCTCACCGGTGTTGACAGCATGTTCCGCCGCTCCTACGCTATCAAGGAGTAAACTGCATGTTTGCCGTACGATATACCCCTCTACCACGACTTGTTTTCTGCCTCCGCTTGCATTTTGAGCATTTGCAGAAGTCATTTTTATGATTCGGTTTAGACTCCAAAGGTTCTGTCATTTTGTTCTTGGCGCATGGAATTGGAACCCCACCTAGTAGCTTTGCTGAGTTATGGTGCTGTTTCACAAACATTACGAAGGACGAAATGATGGAAAGGGAATTGGCATGTATATTGTATGGTCCTCTCTATGAGCGTCCATACAATGTACTGTTTTTATTTAGGTTCCTTACTGAAGCAACTATGCTATAGATATAATAATACTACGAAGTTTACCGAGACTGCTCATGTTTATATTTGTTATCAGAAAAAAATGCAAAAGAACGACTAAATATACCGACATCGGCACCAGCTCAACAAAACTGGGTCCTCGTCTCCTGGGGGACAAAGTTCCCGGTACTACAAAAGGACTTGTACTTCATACAGTTAGCCGCACCATTTACCTGCAATTTTTTTTAGTCTTGTATACCTGCAAATACTACTTGAAAATATAGTGAAGACGATGTGTATATGAAGCTATTGTTCTAATGGTGATGGATTTATATTGTAAACCTTGAGAAGCTGCTAAGTTTCCGGCGCATTATCGATCTTTGTAAGGCAAAGTCCCGGGGATTTTGTCTACCAGGTGCCCCCTCTTGGGAGCTGTTGTGTCATGCCACTACTACTTCTTCTTGGGGCATAGCTTGTGTTGAGTATTGATGAATGAATCGTACCTCGGCCCAAACCTCAAAGCTCCGCGTCGCGATTACCGCCCCGCCTGCCACCCCGGGCTTCCGACACCACCTGAGCTTTAAATACTTTCAATCTAAAGAAACCACTGACATTTAGCATTGCGCATTGCGGCTAGGAAAGTTCCTGACACTAAGACTCCACTACCATTTACACTACATACCTTTTTCCACCATGGGCAAAGAATTGGGACCTGGTGTCGGCTTCGAGTTTCCTCCAGTTCAAGTATCATGGCTGAAGCGCGATCTTTTGCTGTTCGCACACAGCATCGGAGTTACATACCCAGATGAGCTGCATTTCCTCTATGTAAGTCAATTTAGCCCAGCATCTCTCTAGTCAATGCTACCGAACTATTGAGAGTGTACATATGTTGTATTACGGAAAGAACGAGCTTTAACAACCATGCTAGGAACTCCATCCTTCCTTTGCTGCCTTCCCCACATATCCCGTTATTCTCCCGTTCAAGCACACCGACCAGGAGGTCATTGATTTCTATGCGCGCAGCAACTCGGAGCCGATTGAGGGCGTGCCCAAGTTCGACACCACGCACGTGCTTGATGGTGAGCGCAAGATGCAATTCTTCAAGAAGCTTCCCGTCAGCAGCGAGGGTCGCAAGTTCGAGGTGCGAAGCAAAGTGCTAGGCGTGTACGACAAGGGCAAGTCAGGCACGGTTGTAGAAACCGAGCAACGCCTTGTTGATGCCGAAACGGGAGAGACGTACACCCGAGCTGTTGGAAGTGGATTTTACGTCGGACAAGGAGGATGGGGTGGTCCCAAGGGTATGTCAAACCAAAACCAAACTATCTACCCATCATTTTTCATCATCGGAGAACGCAAGTACTAACAAATGAACCCTCATGCAGGCCCCAAGGTCCCCAACTTCCCCCCTCCATCCCGCAGCCCCGACTACACACACATCCACCAAACCACGCTGGAAACCCCGCACCTCTACCGCCTAAATGGCGACTACAACCCGCTGCACGCAGATCCTGAGCCTGGCAAGAAAATGGGCTTCGGCGGCCCCATCATCCACGGCCTCTTCTCCTGGAACATGGCCGCCCATGCCATCCTCAAAATTTTCGGCGCCAGCAAGCCCGAGAACCTGAAAGAGTTCCAGGCGCGCTTCGCAGCCCCGGTCAAGCCGGCTGACAAGCTGATTGTCGATATGTGGCGTACGGGGGATAAGGATGCCCAAGGCGCAGAGGAGATAAGGTTTACCGTCAGGGTTGACGGCGGCAAGACGGTGCTGACGAATGGCCGGGCCCTGGTTAAAGTTGAGGGTGAGGCCAAGCCCAAGTTGTAAAGTAGTAGTGGTAAGCGAGGAGGGGGGATTGGCAGTTGTTGTCGTTGGGAGAAAAGGTTTGGCAAGGTCGGGTGTTTTTTAAGATAAATTAAGTTGATTAACAAAATGCAAACAATTCAGATGCAAATTATCATGGTTTCCTACAAATTTTGCACTTTGCTTCGACTTTTCTTTTTTTTGTTCTGCATACAACGTCGAATCATGCTTTCAATTCATTCCAAGAAATACGTTCCGAGTAACATGGTAGTACACATTTTGTACGAGTTAGGCTAGATCCTCCGCGCCTTGGTACCTTTTACACTTACGTTCTTCTCTTACTACACAAGGTTGATCCATCTGATAAGATGAAGAGATCAGTACTGTACTTTCACGTGCGGGAGGGGGGCCGCATTGAGACTAGCGGCAACACGTTTACTCAACAATATTGATGGTTATGACCGGCACCGGTGAAGACTAAGCAAGGGAAAGCACGAAAAAAACGTAATACGAAGAAAAATTGCATCAACTCCTTGGCTTCTTTTTTTTTGCATGAGCACATAAACTACATCAAAGTATTACACCACTGAGAAGAAATTAAAAAAAACCGCAAAGACATATTTCTCTAATTTTCATTGATCTTGCATTTTAGTTACAGATGTATGTATAAGCAGCCTAGCCCATATCCATGCCCGCCTTTGTTTGTTCCATGACGATGCATATTGTATGAATTGACTTGTGAGTTTAAAAATATATAAACGACTTGCACAGAAGCGAAAAAAAAGAAAGCTTACGAGTTTAATGCACGGCAATAGCAAAAATAAAAAACACAATCGCATAAAGCCTTGGACTCGACACCACACCATTTAGCAAACAAAACTCCCATACACACGGAAAAAGCGAAAGCAATGCAACCGCGCAATGCAAATCCCATGCCCCGGCAAAAACGAAAGATGGTGTACGTGTCGTAGTGCGTAGGTTTTCACTACCTGTAAAAATTCATTCTGGAAAATCCTGGAATCGTCGTGGATCATGGAGTGGACACAGTGGTCCCTCACTGTTGGAGGTTACGCGAATTGTACCTCTGTAGCCACTGGTTGCGTTGGCAGCAGCAGCAATTGATGGAGCATATTAATCAAAGACTTGAAGTTAGTTCAAGTCTTTGTTGTAGGGAAAGCTCTGGGTATCCAAGAAGAGGCTCGTAGCAATAAGACTGCCTTGAACTAATAAAACAGAACAAGACAGCAACTTTTGTCGGGTCGTAGGAAGGAAGTGCTGTAGAAGAATCATAACGGTAGAAAAAAAGGACGAGACTATTATCTGATGAGAGGCTCATCAGACGTCAAACTGGCCGTGGTTGAAGACATCGTGCTCGTTGCTGGCAACGACGCCAGACATCCTGTCGCTACGCCCCGCTGGCCTGTCCCAGTTGACATCATCCGTATCATCTTCGTCCATACGTTCCATGCCTTCGCTCCTGTGTCTATCATGGCCAAATTGTTGCTCCATTGTGCTCTGGTCTGTGAAGGTGAAACCGGCAAAGTTGGCTTGCATCGTTGGCGAGAGTGGCGTGGATGCCGAATTGACACCTGAAGCCAGAGCAGCAGCACGTGCATTCAAGGAACCAGCACCGTTGAGAGCGTTGGTGAACTCGGGATCGAAGTTGGACACGTCAAGCTCTCCCTTGAGTTTGGGCTTGAACGGAGGCACAACGTTCTTCTTGGCCAGAGCGTCCCAGTCGATATCAGCAAAGAAGGGGTGATCCTTCAACTCTTCCGCATCGCGTGTAGCGCCGAGTCTGTGCTTGGGGTTCCTGTTGAGAAGTCCCTTGACGAAATTCCTACCTTCTGTGCTGAGGGCGTCGCGAGGGAACCTGACTTTTCCGAAAGCAATGTTCTTGTACATTTGCTGGGTATCTTCTGCGTAGAATGGACTCCAGCCACAGCACATTTCGAAAACTAGCACACCGAGAGACCAGAAGTCGACCATCTTGGTGTAGCCGTGCTCATCCAAGAGGACCTCGGGAGCAAGGTATTCGGTAGTACCGCAGAATGTGTTGGTTGTGGCGTTCTCGGTGAGGTTGGCCTTGGACAGACCAAAATCGCAGAGTGCGATATGACCGTTTGCATCCAAAAGGATGTTCTCAGGCTTGAGGTCTCGGTACACAATGTTGTGTTCGTGGAGATGCTGCAATGCGAGGATGAGCTCTGCAATGTAGAACTTGGCACGTGCTTCCTGGAAACGACCTTCTCTCTGGAGATGCCAGAAGAGCTCACCTCCAGACATGTAGTCGGTTACAAAGTACAAATCTGAAGGAGTCTGGAAAGAGAATTTGAGCCCGACAATGAAAGCCGAATCAGCCATGGCTGTCCGAACGAGAATGTTGCGTTCTCCAAGTGTATGTGCCACCTCCTTCTTCTGTACAATCACCTTCTTCGAAAGGACCTTCATGGCGTAAATTCGGCGAGTGTCTCGCTTGCGGACCTGGAAGACCTGGCCAAAAGTACCCTTTCCAATAAGCTTGAGAATTTCGAAATCTTCTGGGCCATAGTGCTTCTTTTCGACCTTTTGGAAATTGAGCTTTAAGTGGATTTCTCCAGTAACAACGCCGCCTTCGCCTTCTCGAGGCTCCAGTGGGAACCAGCCATCGTAGGGCTCGTTATATTCAACAAGGTTTGGACAGAAGCGAACATGGCCGAGGAAAGCCTCGCCATTGGCGCGATCGTAGACTGAGACGTCGACTTCTGCGTGGTCTCCAACAACATCACTTGAAGCTGTTAGGCTCGGAATCTACAAAAGTGAAGGAGAAAAAATATCGCCACTTACAAAATTGCTTCGTGTCCCCACTTGGGGGCGGTGACTTCTTCGAGAGAGCCATTGTCCCTGGGGTCTGAGCTGTGGCCACTGTTGCTGCTCTGTCGGCTCTTCATTGGGATAGCCATTGGGTGGTTCATTTGGCTCTCTGTTCGCTTCATCTGCATGGGTGGGCGGCCCTTCTTCGAGTCATCGTGCCTGGGGCCATCTGAGATATACTCGGCCCATTGGAATTGGCAGACGACATAGGGGTCTACACTGGGAACGAGGCCCCTTCCTTCAGAGATTGTGACTGCGAGCTTGCCTTTTGGGGCGACGACGGGAGCCGTCTTGCTTTCCTTGGACTGGTCTGACGCATTGGAGGTGCGAGACAGGTTCGAGGGCTGCGGCTTGGTTTCTTGCGAGCGTGTGCGAGGAGTCTGAGGAGGGGTAGCCTGTTGCAACGGCGCAAAGTCGCCTTGCGTTAGCTTCTCCGTTTCACCAGCCAACTGTGAGGCTGAAGGAGTTCGGGAAGAGGCACTAGGGGTGGGGCTAGGCAGCATTTTGGGTTGGGTAGATGACTCTTTTTGCTCTTTTTCTTGGGGTTCCGACGGTGCAGGCTCGAGATGGTTCTGTGCAGAAGAAGTGACGGGTGCGGGGGAGGGGCTTGCCGCTGACAACGACTTCCGCGAGGGCATAAGAGAATCACGAACCTGACCAAAGTAACTATGCAGAATACCCGGCAGTCGTTTGTCCGTAGGATCGGGCTTGGGTGTCGTGGCACCGGGTGGCGTGGAGCTGGTGGAGCCGATCTGGTCGTGTCCGTCGTCATTATTTTCGTTTGTTGCTCTGTGGTGAGTCAGCAATGGAGAAGACGACATCATGTCGCATCAAGTTAAAGGGCGGTGAGTGCGTGTCGGGGCGGGAGCAACGTGGTGGTGTGAGGGCTGCGGCCATAGCCACGAGTCGCTGGGCCGATGGCGAAGAAATAGTGTGCAACGTTGGACGGGGACGTTGCTCAGCTGCATCTGACCAGCTCAGATGCTAGGCTTTGCTAAGCGACGGGGATAGCTCTGGGGTGGCGGCCCAAGGCTGCACACACCCAACCAGCACGGCGAGGGCGAGATGGGGGGGAAAAAAGGGCAAAGCAGGGCGTGCTTACCGTGTCATTGCCTGTCGAAGCAGGTCGGCAGCGCCAGAGGACGTGGTGCCGGCGTGGGAGGCCATGGTGGGTGGTTGGCGGGTCGAGGGTGCAGTGCCGACGTTGAGGGTGGAAAGGGTCGGGACAAGACTGCTCGACTTGTTGCGGATGTGATGGCGGGGTTGGATGGTCTTTGTGGAAGAGTCGGAGGTGCGCGAGACTAGTCCGGGACGGTGCGAAAGGGCATCTACAGCTGGGCTCTTTGGGCGGATCTTGGAGGCGGTAGTGGAAGGGGTGATGGTGGCTGTGGAGGAGGAGGAGTAGTAGTAGGAGGAGGAGTTGTCACGGAGGCTGGCGCGAGAGGGGCTGCTGCTGAAGGTATCGCTGGCCGGGGACGCTGAGAGCGAAGTGGGCGCCGGGTCCGCAGGCGGGCGTGAAGTCATAATAATCAATTGGAACCTGGCTCGCTGCTCCGAGCGGCCTTGGCCCTAAACAAGCGCGTTGCAACGACTGTGCGAAAACTCTGCTCTAGGACGTCTTTAACGGGGCAAGCAGTCCGAGTTTGTGCAGGCTCGAGCCACGCGGCGGTGTGTAAGGCGCGGGTAGGGTTGGGGAGAGGTGAGCGGGTGTGCGTGTGCAGTGAGTGTGCCTTGGAAGAGCCTGAGGAGTGGGTTCGGGTACAGTTGGCAGGAGACAGGCTGCAGCATCGACACGGCCGTGTCAGTGTGGTGAGTGATTAGCGTGCGGGAGCAGCGATGCAGACAGACGGGCGATTGATAGCAGCGTCGTCAGAGGGCGCTGCAGATTGCAGGTGATTGCAGATTGCGGATTGCAGACGACGGGCGGAGGAATCGATAGTACTAAGGGGATGGATGGATGGGCGGAACACAGAAAGCAGATGGATAGATGGGCAAGGCGTTGCGCTCGTTATTGACCGCAGCCCATTGTTCCCTTTCACCGCGGGCACGTTATCCGACCGGTCAACTAGGGAGGCTTGCTAGATTTGATATGCTGCTACTACCAGTACACTACTCGTACTGCTGCTCGTCCCCCTCTACCAATGCATTCACTTCGGGGCGCTGGTGGCGGAGCCTTGGCCACGAGCCTCTGCAGCGCTGCACTGCACTGCACCACCACTGCCGCAACGCCTGCCGCTTGTCCTCGGCCCTTTGACCGCCACCCACCACCGCCCCAGTGCTGTCATCAGTCACTCACACCCTTCATCCACTTGCACTTGCACTTGCACTGTCGGTCGCCGAGAGATGGGCGCAAGCTGGAGCCAAATGATCTAACTAGACATGCGTGTTAGAGGCAGCAGCAACTAAGTAACAGCAGCCGCACCAGTACTGCACACTACCACCAACGACCCCCCCGTTGCCGTCTACGTATGGACATGACACGCCCGTCGTTGACCCGTTGGGGGTGCGTGGGCCAAGCAAGCTGCCGTGCGCTGACGTCGTCTCTCCACCGCAGTGCGCCTTCACGGCCGGCAGCAGATTGCAGTCCCTGGCTAAGATCTCGGAGCAAAGCGATTCACTGCCAATCACCGCCTCCACCTGCCCGTGTCTGGTGGAGCCCGAATACCCTCACATTTTCTGCTCAAGCCAGCCGCTGCGTCAAGCGCCCAGCCTGTCGTTTGAAGAAAAGACGCAGCCCGAAGCCCTCAGGTGCCGCCCGATAGCGATAGCGATAGTGCCATGGGTAGTGCACGTAGTCTCTGATAGACAGCCGACCATGGGACCGGTGTAGTCCATTTGCTTCCGGCAATCGGCAGCTTCACGTGAGCCCTGACTCGTAGACGCCCTCACTGCCACCCATGGTTGACCTCTCTCGTGTGTGTGTGTGTGACTCCCTCTCCCCTCGTGCGTGTATGTAGTAGTATGTAGTACTAACCATGTACTACTAGTAATTATGTGGTGAGCACACTGGCTGGTGACAGCCTGCACTCCCGCACGCCCGCCAATCAGCGCCATAGCCATCCACGCCGTCGGCCAAACAGCCGGCCCGTGCAGGCGTATTGCATTTCTTAAGTCGAGCTGCACGGCACCCGGGCGCGCGCAGGCTCACGAGCTCAACGCCACAGCAGACAATAGCACACTGCCCACTTGACCATCATGTCCGACCGCGAGTTTGGCGGCAACGACGATCTGTCGCTGCCAAAGGGTGAGTGCTCCTGGCATGCGCCCGCCTGGCCCCAAACCCTTCACTAACGCGCCCGACAGCGACGGTGCAAAAGATTGTCCAAGATATCCTCGCCAGCGAGCCAGGCATGACCTTTGCCAAGGACTCGCGAGACCTGCTTATTGAGTGCTGCGTCGAGTTCATCACCCTCATCTCGTCCGAGGCCAACGAAATCGCCGAAAAGGACGCCAAGAAGACCATAGCCTGCGAGCATGTCAAGGCTGCTCTCGAGGAGCTTGACTTTGGCGACTACGTGCCCGCCATCCTCGACGTCGCACAAGACTACAAGAAACAGCAACAGGTACGCGCTCGCCAAATACATACATATACCTGTCTTGTCGGAGCTAACGTGGGGCAGAACCGCGAAAAGAAGCAAACCAAGATTGAGCAGAGTGGCATGACCGAGGAGCAGCTCATTGCTGCCCAGGAGGAGCTCTTCAAGAATGCTACGAGCAAATTCAACGCACCCTCGCAGTAATCAACTGCCTAATCTGACCCATCACTTGTACGAATAACGGACTCGGTTGCATGGCGTTTGGGCGGATATCGAGGGATGCGGGCATGGCGTTTGGGGTAGACCAGGTAGGCTTTCAGCGTATGCAGGCCACCATTTTTCAAATGCATAAGGCTAGGCGTTTTCCGGTGCGATTCGGTGTCGAGCGGGCTGCACCGCAGCCCAGAGACCACCATGACATATTTACCATGATTTTACCTTGTGCATCCATCTGCCCACTGCTCTCTTGAATGCGCGTCGGCTAGTTCTCTGCAACAGGACGAGCATTCGCGCGACCCTTTCGCGACCAATGACGTCGGGGCGCGTGGGCCGCCAAACCCCGCGTAGCCCTGGCCAGTAGCGGCAACCCACCTACACCTTCCCATCTCCCCAAGCCCTACTCCAACCCACGCCGACCCTGCCAACTGTTATACTCCAACTGCACACCATGTCGGGTCTCGAGAATGCGCTTTTCAACCTCAAGGTGGGCATCGGCCGCCTGTCCCTGCTAGTAGTCAGCCCGCTGACCTTGACTAGTTCACAGCCAAGTCGCTGAACCGGCAGGCCCTCAAAGCCGGCAAGGAAGAGCAGGCTGAGAAGACCAAGCTGGAAAAGGTGTGCGCGCACAAAAAGTCTTGCTCCCAGCCAGCAACATACTGACGCGCTCGCCAGGCTATGAAGCAGGGCCACAACGATATCGCACGCATCTACGCCGGAAACGCGATCCGCAAACAGAACGAGAAGCTCAACCTCCTACAGCTCGCCTCCCGCGTCGATGCCGTCGCTGGCCGTGTACAAACAGCAGTTACTATGCGCCAAATCACGGGCAACATGATGAAGGTCAACCGGAGTCTGGACGTGGCCATGAAGTCGATGAGTCCTGAACGCGTATGTAGCCACTACAGTCGCAGCAGGGACCCCCAACGCCCATGCTAACCCTACCCTAGATTGCTGCAGTCATGGTTGATTTTGAGAAACAATTCGAGAACGTAGACTCCGCTACCGAACTCTATCAGGACATCACCTCGTCGGCCACGGCCGTTGGCACCCCACAGGAAGATGTCGACCGCCTCATGGCCCAGGCAGCAGATAAAGCAGGCGTTGACCTACAACAAGACCTGCAAGAGGCCACGCCGGCCAAGACCAAGGTGGGTCCCACCGAGCAGGAAGAGGAGGCTTTTACCGAGAGGCTGCGCGCGCTGAGAAACTGAACCATGGGCAATGATTAACTGAAATGGCTTCTTTGGTGTAAATGGAGTTGGGGTGTCACATATACGAAACGGTTTATGAAAAAGGCTACATTTGATTCTGATACAGCAAGCTGTCATCACTGCAATTAACATTATTCATCAAGTGGACCCTGATTCTCAGTCCCTGCATCCGTGTGCTCCCGCAAACACCACGTCATTCGCACATCTTACCATTTCTTACGACGTACATATATACTACAGTACTCCACATGTTGTGTTTCTGTATGTAACCGCACATTCGGCCCGATCCTCGACTTGGATAGGGAATTTCCGGAACGCAATCGGTCCACTTTGCGTGCTACCGTCTCCTCGTTTGCCAAGAAAAAATACAGAGAAATCATGAGCACTACATCCGCTCAAGTGCCAATATACACAAGGCATGAATGTGACCTTGAAATGATCACCACCACAATGTGGCCTAAGAAGCCCCTGCCTCCTTATCCTTCCTCCTCGACCGACCCTCCTCTTCAATCCTCTCCACCAACATATCAGCAAGGAACCACTTCTCCTGACTCGCTTCCCCCATGATCCTGTGACTAGATTCCAGGAACTTCTCCTTGAACAGCGCCCAAAGCTCCTCATCAGCTGCCTCACCAGTCCCCGGCTTGGGATAAAAAGGATCGTTCTTGTAGAAAGCGACGCAAGCCTGCTCAACGCCCGTCTCATCAATCTGAATCGGACGACAACAGTCAAAGTCGAGAATCCACATGCAGTGAACACCCAGATACTCCGACTCGAAGGTAGGTGCATGCCCTGCGCGCGGAGGAGCCAGCACAAACTCAACATCATTCGCATCGATTCTCGCACCCCAGTGCATCAGCGCAAGCGCTTCCGCCATGGCTCCCGCATACGCCCTGACGTCCAACCCCAGCACCTCCATCTGATCAACATGCAACGGCACATTACGCAGACTGAAGCGCTGAAAGCGCGATTGACTAGCTCCGTCTTGCCTGTGGCGCCGCCGGCGACCAAGGTACGGTCGAATCAGACAAGCGTCGTCGTCTGGGTTTCCCTTGACAAACTCGCTCAGCGACGTGTTGCCCGCGCAGAAGAGATCGACGAGTTTGTCGCCGGTGGACCGGGGGACTTTGGGGATGCGCTCCGAGGCTAGGGCTCTGCATGGTGAGTAGCCCGGTGGGAATTGGGCGAGGCTCGTGTGCCACCAGGGGTCGCTGGCTTGGATGAGTCGCTGGCATTGCGGTATGCAGAGGGGCGTGGAGAGGGGCTGGTGCTGCTGCGTGCTCTCGACTACTTTGACATGCATGTTGTAGTCGTTTGTGACGGAGCGGCCTGGTCCGCCGTCTTCGCGCTTGATGGCGGTTTGGCGGGTGCTGTCTTCGAGGGTCCAGACACTGCCGCAGAAGCCTTTGCCGATGCAGCGGTAGCGAGCGTTGGTTTGTTGCATAGTTTTGAATGTAAGCTTGAAGTTTGAGTTCAGCAAGGGGGATTGTTTGTGGTTAAATAGGTGATAGAGAGACTTGCGTTTGGCGGGTTCTCAGCTGTTTGTGCCGTGGTACTGTTGGTCGTTTGCTTCGAGTGTTTACCAATGACGTCTTCGCTATTGTAGGCTGCAGGTGAGAGACATGACTCAGAAACTCACTGTATAGTCACAATCTGTTCAGCCGTTTGCATTTTATGCATTGGCTCAGCTTTGTACCAAGTATGACGTGGCCAGCAGATTGGCTGGTAGTTGATGGGATTCGTAGCGTAGAACTGCTAAATACTGTGGGTTGCATTTATGTCAAACGATTGTCTCCGTGAGCTATATTTTTGGAGAATATCAGAGATATACAGAGCCAAAAGGCGTTGTGGATGAATTCAAGAATCATTTGCAAAAGCTTTGCGTAAGTTCGACCGCACTCAAGGAACAAAACCCTGAGACTCACATGTCAGCTTCACTTTGAATATGGTCTATTCAAGTATCTAATAACGACTTTTCCTCCAAAGGGTCAAACCCCAGACGGTTCCAACACGCATTCCCGTGTAACAAGAACCCAGTACAAACCCATCAAAAAATTGTGAAAAAAAACCTGACTTTCCTTTACCCGCCGAGCACCATCTTCTCACAGCAACTTAACTTGTTGTCTTGAACCGTAAGCTTCAAACCAACCCTCGCTCTCAAACCCCCGAGCACCTTCACCTGGCGAGAGAAAAAAATACTGTTACTCCTCTGCAATCTATCCTTCTTGTGCAGTTCCATCACTAAAATCCAGAAAACACACGTATATATTGAAACTAAGTAAAACAAAAGTCCCTGTGGCTTTGTATGTGCAAATTCTACTAAGGAATATGCGTGAACAAGGGCTTATGTCATCTATCAATCCGAAAGTGTGTGAGTCCTATCGTCAAAAGGTACATAATGACTTTGTCCTTCTGATACAGCACCACGTCCTTCCCGCTACCTTCTTTACACTCATCCCGCGACAGCCAAAATCACATACGCATCTAGATACCGTGATACTTAACTGAAGCTAGCTGAATCACGTAATCTCGTACATTATCCCCGCAAGATCTCTATGTACCTCTGGGGTTTATATAGCGGCTGCTACTATTGTGCTGGACAACTGGTATAGTAATGAGCGACAAGAACTGTATCCCGAGTATTGCTACAAACTATGGGATTTTGAAGGGAATATGCAGACGTTCAAGAATATGTGATCTATTATTGGGCTTAGAACGAGTGAGCAGGTAGATACAGTCGGGTGAAATGAATATCGATGACATTAGTTTTTGAAACAACTAGACTGTTCCCAGACCGCTAGAACGTGTTTGTGTATTGATCAGCAGAGAACACTCAAAAAAAAAGTGGTGCTAATTTGACGATGAAAAGTCGCGTACCCTGTAAGAAAAAAAAATACTATTTAATTTCCACCCTACTCAGCTTACATCTTGCAATGAAGTCGATCAACAACTTCGTCCCTTGATCCAAACGCTTCAACACCCATCCTCTCCAAATCGCCGACAGAAGTCTCACCTTCCGATATACCCATGTGCCCCATACAGTGGGCGACATCATCACTCACCATATAAACGAAGTGACACGCACGGCTGCGTAGTTGGGAGGAATGCGATCGATGTGGGTCATACAGGTATGGCAACAAAGATCAATCTAAAAGTGACAAGTGGTTAAATGATTGATTTTCCCTTTTAAGTAGAATATGACAGGTCGGCTCAAGGACTTGGTTGGGTCCTGTTACTACTGTGAAGTAGCACAGAAATTAGGACATGAACTGTTTCGACTTTAGAGCATGAGACTGTGGTAGGAGTCTAAGAGAGTTACTGCTTATAATTGTCCTTAAAAAAAATTTCGACCAAAGATGTGGTAGATGATGATAATGACGATGTGTAATTGTAACAAGTCTTGATGTTTCCAAGGTGAAGTTGATATGGACAGGAGACGATCTTGTAATGTGCCCAAAAAGATTACATACCACAGTTGAGCGAGAATAGCCAACCACAATTTCTACGACTTACAGATCGAGCAATTCCTACAAATTATCGAGCACCGTATTGCTTATATGTCCATTCTCTTTTCAGTAGCCACCACATGTGTACCACAAGGTGGATATGACGATGCACAGACCACATCGCTTACCGATTCGCACGCGATGATCGAAAAATACGTCGAGAGCAAAAAAATCCGACCAATTTACACGTTTCCTGTACATTTAACGTGAGTTTTAAACAGTCGCAAAGTTTTGTCGTTGTTCGCTGACACTGTCCCTAAAGCCGACCCCTCCCCCCCCCAAACCGCAAATCTTTGCCACAATGGAGAACGAACGCGGAGAACTCGTAGACCTGTAAATAATCCTTGGCCCCGGTGAATAAGCCAGACTGGACATGAGTAAAACTGATACTTCTGGCAGCTACATCCCACGCAAGTGCGACGCCACCAACCGTATCATCCGCCCCAAGGATCACGCTTCTGTGCAGATCGCCATTGCCAATGTTACAGCTGAAGGCCGCGCAATCCCCGGAGACAACAAGTCGTTTGCCCTCGCTGGCTTCGTCCGCGCAATGGGTGAGGCTGACGACTCGTTGAATCGCCTGGCTCAACAGAGTGGATATCTGGAGAAGGTGTGGAACGCTGTCAAATAAGGGGAAAAGAAAAGAATGAGAAGGGAAAAAAAATCAGATTGCGAAAAATTGGTTGAAAAATGTCACGATATGATCGAAACGAGGATAGATGGTATTTTGGGCTCCCGGCGTATAGGATTGTGAAGCAAGTTAGCTACTGGAGAGCATGAAAAGGCTAGACAGCGTCCAAGTCTTGTAGACGACTCTGCGAAAATGCAGACTAGAATTTACTTCTTAAGTTCAAGGTCCTGAGAGGGTCCATTTGCTTTGTGCGAGGCTTTCTGCTTCCAACTCTTTTTGGCCTGCGGTGTATTCCTTACATACATGCCCAAAATCTCTTGGCGTAGTATTATGTCGAGGTATTTTTTTCTGATGGGAGCTGCCTGTGTTGATTGTGCGGGGATGATAAAGGGTTATTAGTGCTTTGGATAAATATGCATCTCTGACCCTCTGCGCAGTGTCCAGTACTTGTCTATGGTAGTGCCGCATACATGGCGGTACGCGTATTGGGTGAATCGGCATTCCGGCTCTCGCATATCTTAGAGCGTTCCTGATTAAGGAAATGGGCACCGACTAATGGGCTCAGCCTGATGTACGTGGCATATTTTCCGCATGATTGTGGCGAGTGTTGAGAGACAATTGGCTATGGTTAAGACGGATAACTGGCATGTGGAATGAGCAAAGTGGGCCCAAGAAACGAGGAACTTCGCCCTGCTGATCACAACAAGTCTATCATGAGAGCTAGCAAATGCCAATGGGGAGGTTGGGTCGTGGAGATGTGGAGTGATCGCCTGTTGGGTTGGATACAACTATGCGTATGCGTATTCACGACTTGGAGGCCCAGACTACTGGCTCTTACCAGGCCATCGGGAGAGAAGCCGATTGTAGTAAAGTGTGCATCTTACTGCAGGAGACTAGCGAATGCAACGGTAAGCGCGGCGCCTGAAGATAGAGAATGCATCAACATGGCAGCGCCTCGGCAGCACATGATGCTAGGGTGCAAATCTAGAAGCGAATCGTTTTGCGTAATATCAAAACCCAAACCTGATACACTGGTGCTCGTTCGCAGCCACAGTTGCTCAGCTGTTGGCAGACAATGGTGGACGGCAGAGGGCGGACGGGCCGCCTGTCGTCGTGATTCAACTCGCGGAACATTACACCGAGGATTAGAATATAGGCGTTGGCGGCACCTGTTCCGTCCGGGATGATGGATCGCTACCGTCGCGAATAATGGATCGCTACCGGCGCAGACGGACGCACTACGAAGAACAGCTTGGTGTATTCCGCTAGGGGCTAGGGTGGCTTTGGGTGGCGTACTGTCAAACCTGACGACAAATGATGGGGTAATGGAGTAGTCCCATGTGCGATGGGACGAAGGTGGACAGGCACAATATGTACAGCAGCATCTTCGGTGTGCTTATGGCGAGCACAGGAGTCTTTTGTAGCGGTAATGGGCTGGACTACTGACGGTGGGACCGCCAGTGCTTGTGGGCGGGGGGTCATGCGCGGTGTAGAAATTGCTCTACTGCTGGGAGAGAAGAACGTCCGGGGAGAAAGTGTGGGAAACCCCTGCGAAACAAGCTTCAGCGGGGCCGGATAAATTCAGTCGTGGTGCGGGGATGGGGTAGCGTGGGTAGCGTTGGCTGGGGCTCCGCGACCGGGGCTGTGATAGGCGGCTCTGGGCCAACACGACGGCTAAGGCCTCAAGGAATCAGCTAACGTCAGGCCGCCAATCTCCATCTGGACTCTCCCGGTGGGTTGAAGGCGGCTAACCAAAGCATTGCCAAGTTGCAACGGGATACAATTAAGCTTGTCAAATTCGAATCACACGCGGGTGGGCGTTGGCGTCGGGCCAGTTTGATAGCCTCTTTGATCTGATTGATGGAATCTCGTCTCCAAACTACTGACCCCAGATGCCGCCCTGTCTGACTTGCGGGACACTTGGGGCCCTTGCTCTTGGGCTTGTTATTTAAAAGTGCTACCATCGCAGTGATGATCTTCTTTTGCTTCCCTTTACCTGCCAGCCTCTCTTATACCGCACACTCTGCTTGTGTCGGTTCACATCTGCAAGCATGGCGGATAAAATCGACAACAAGGCCTATGGCGCCGACACGCAAATCGAAAAGGCCATGTCGAACCTCGAAATCGACGAGAAGTCGACGGCTGCCCAGAACAAGGCTGCTGCTATCGAGGCTGAAAATGCCGAGCACAACATGACTGTGCCACAGGCAGTCAGGGAATACCCCATGGCTGCCTTTTGGGCCTTTGTCATGTCTTGCACTATCGTCAGTCCCTCCTCCCACTCAATTGACATTTCAAAAACAAAAGAGAATTCCAGCTAACATGACATGTAGATTATGGAATCCTACTGTGTTTTCTTGATGGGAAACTTCATCGCCCTTCCCGCATTTGCCAATGCCTATGGTAAATTCAGCCCCGTCGACAACAAGAAGATCATCGTAGCCAGCTGGCAGTCTGCTCTCCAGATGGGTGGACCAGTGGGTGCAATCATCGGTGTCTGCTTGGCCGGTCCCCTTACCAGCCGCATTGGATACCGCTGGGCGACTATTTCCGCACTCATGGTGTTGAACGCCTTCATCTTCATCTTCTACTTCGCCAACTCGCTTCCCGTCATGTTCATCGCCCAGCTCCTCGAGGGTATTCCATGGGGCGTCTTCATCGCCAACTCCCCAGCCTACTGCAGTGAGATTACGCCAATTCAACTCCGAGCTCCTGCTACTCAGATGTTGCAAATGTTCTGGGCTATTGGTTCCATCATTGTCACTGGTGTCACCTATCATTACAACACAATGGACAGCGCAAAGGCGTACAGGTATGTATTTCGATACTTTGTATCTAATATTTCGCTAACCGAGCTCCTAGAATCCCCATTGCCCTCCAATGGATGTTCCCCACCCCTCTTGCCATTCTCATCTACCTGGCTCCAGAGTCTCCCTGGTGGTTGACCCGAAAGGGACGTTATGAAGAGGCCGAGAAGGCAGTCGGACGCTTGGGACGCAAGACCATGCTCAACCTCAAGGAGTCCGTTGCTATGATGCGCCGTACCATTGAGCTTGAGAAGTCAGTCAAGGACCCCAGCTATCTGGAGCTCTTCCGAGGCGTCGACCGCTACCGAACCCTCATCGTGTGCGGTGTTTACGCGGCACAGAACCTTACTGGTAACCTCATCGCCAACCAGGCCGTATACTTCTTTGAGCGTAAGTTTTATTTTACCACGATCCTGAAATTTTAGAGCCATGTTGCTAATTCCTTCACAGAGGCTGGAATGAGCACTGACACTGCGTTTGCCCTCGGTCTCATCACCTCTGCTCTCCAGATGATCTTTGTCATGCTGTCTTGGATTTTGACCTCGTATCTCGGTCGTCGTACCATCTATGTATGGGGCTCTCTCATCAACGTCGGCTTCCTTGTGGCCCTCGGTATTGCAGCCTCCGTTAGCACGCCAACCGCGGCTATTGCCAGAGCGGCTTCTCTCGCCCAAGCCTCCCTCGGTCTCATTGTCTCCGTTCTCTTCACCCTCGGACCTGCGCCTGCTTCTTGGGTCATCATCGGAGAAACATCTGCTATTCGTCTTCGACCCCTCACAACCGGTATTGGACGTGGTTGCTACTATGCCATCAACATTCCTTGCATTTTCCTTTCCAGCTACATGCTTAACCCTGATGTAAGATTGGACCCATTTTGAGCTTTGTATGAATAGTCACTAACTCAGTACAGGAGGCAAACCTTGGTGGCAAGTGCGGTTACGTCTGGGGTGGCACTGGTTTCTTCTGCTTCGTCATTGCATACTTCTTCCTGCCTGAGATGAAGAACCGATCCTACCGCGAAATCGATATTCTGTTCCACCGTAAGGTTCCTGCTCGCCAATGGTCAAAGACCGTCGTCGACGCCACAGACGACGAGTAAACAGCGCTTGCTCAGGAGACCGAGGCATGATGTGGATGGTAGTAAAGTGTTGATATGTCATCAGTCATGTCCCTTGGTACGATATTAAGTAGTCACTGGGTTAGACTAAATGCTATGACCCCTACCTTGAAAATAATTAATTACGGAAATATTTCCCGTGAACTATAAATCCATCTCTGATGACCTAAGTACAGTCAGCTGTAATTTCTCACACGTGCACTTGTCAACCATGAAGCCATGTTCATGCCTGTCAACAAATCCACACTATGGACGTATTTTAATTAAGCCAAGCTACTTGGAATGTAGTTCGCCGTTCACTCGATCTCGGGACGGATCTATTCTCGGAGCGGAAGATATAGTGAATAACTAGAAAAGACCCTTGATCTACCCCATGTGATGACCTCTGCACTTGGTCCTCAAAGCCAACCAATCAAGCCTACATTCACCCCTACAAGTCAAGCTCAGGCAGGCTAGGGTACCCGGAATGACAGTTTTGATGACAGTTCCGCTCAACCGAAGAAATTCACGACTACTTACACGTTCTCCGACATTGCTACGGACGCCATCTCTAGACGCAGCCAACCGTAAGGAAAAAGGCTCTCTGCTTGCGATTAGCTTACAGATCTATCTAGTCTGCTTCCAAGAGCCTGGGTCTTGGAAAGTGGGGAAGATTGCGTGTACCCATGGTAATGGGATATGTGTAATGCTGGGCTAGAGATGTGATAGGTGGGTACTAATCTGATCGTGAGGGTCTAGGGACCGTGCTCGAGGACTATCCGCCGGGCTCCGCAGTGACTTCAGGCATTGTTGGAGCATGGTTAGATGTTAAGCACACGAGTATGTAGTAGGCCTGTGATTTGTGGGTATGGCGGCGGCGGCGTTTGTTGTGAATGATTCATCGCAGTTGGTGCGAGGGAAAGAAAGAGGATAGGAAGATAGGCAGATGAGGCTCATTGAGTGGTATATTGCTATCTTTGACTCGGACATATAGCTTCTAGACAGTATTTGCTGCATGTCCAAAGACTCTACCCGTTTTCTTTGGTTCGGTCTTGCCTATATTGTCCAAACTGCACACAAAAGCGGTTTAGCGCAAGTACCTTGGTAACCCAGTTCGACAATGTCACCTCTTGCCTTGCTTCATTGTATCTGCCAGTTTATCAACCAGGGTTTATTTGCTTTCTCGGAAAAACTGTGTGTCAACTCCCCGAGCGTGCATTGGCAGTGCCTTCTAGTCAATACAACATGCCTTCATGAATTGAAACCATTCTTGCTCTACCAACAGAGCCCAAGACGTCTTCAAGTTATTTCGGATGACTGCCGTTGAAGATATTAATGCTATCTTGAGTGTCATGGTCAGTCATGTTTTGCTGGTCGTTGATTCTCGCAGTACTGATCTTTCGTAACTGCTCTAGTCACATCGTGTGTAGCTCAAGATATCCTCGAAATCGCAAACAAAACCTTATATGAGCACTTTGAATCAATGTCTGCTCCAAAGGAAGAGCCAAAACAAGAAAAGTGTTAAGATGCCCAACGCAAGCTCGCAAAGGTAGAGGAACAGTGCTCACATGGTACGATACAACAAGATAGCACTATGCACCTGTTCACAAGAACCATTTTGGATGCATCCTAATCCAGCACAGAAGATGACCCTGGTTGCTCCTAGCCGACACTCTTCTCAGAAAGCCTTTGGGAGAGTGAAAGTGAGTCTCGTAGATGAGATATGCAACAACGCCATGGTATGCCCCACAGCGACATGGCCATCAGATGCAAAACTCCATGGCATAGAAACAGTAGCTAATAAGCTCACTTGGCAGCATCTCATGTACCAGACAGCTTACTAAAAGAAAACACGTTTTTCTTTCTTTTTGATTCGGTTGAAATAACATGGTACTGAGAATCTCCAAAGGCCGACCAGTTTCATCGGCTACCAACCTACTTCGGCTTAGGGAGCGTTGTCCGTACTTAAGTAAAAAATCTTAACTCAATACTTCGACGCATCAAGAAAGGGAACGCCAGCCGGTAGACGACAATGTCGGTAACTACATTCCAGATGGACAGAAACTGGTGGAAGTTATCATGAAAATAACGCTCCTCAAGATACTTCCTATTCCTATCTGTGCGGTCAGTGCTCGTGGTTGCAGCTGGGAAGAAAGCAAACATATCCACACGGATCGACTGAGCAACACATGCATGAGGACTCCGCGGGAGGAAGACAAGATTCTATGGGCAACGCCTGGCTTCGCGATCTCGCAATTGCCTATCATTATTAGGTATACGACAAGGTGCCCGGATTGCCATCGGAAGGTATGCCCAATGTGTGCAGCCATTATCGACGGAAATTGACAATAGCAGAGGATCTTGGGAGGGGCGAGGGCTCCACACAAAACAACCCTGCATGTTTTCGGAGCGTGCAACCGGACCAGGAACAGTATTGCTATACACCTGGTTTTGCACGACGCGCTATCCACGTCAGGCAGCCCTCAGGTACACATGATGATGTGTCAGTCACAAAAGCTTGGTCGGATCAAACCTGGCACTGCACTCGTACCACTCACGGCAATGAAAACACCGCTCCAGCCCCAGCACCCCACACGCGCTAGGATGCTGCAATACGTCTTCCAGCCATGAATCAGCCCCATCTCGCCACCAGAACCACCATCAAGCGGCACTTGGCAAGCTTGGCAGTCCGCCCAGTTGAAGCTTACCAAGGCCTCTTATCACGTCTTGACACGGCTCGTGTGCTTGTTTACTGGGTCCACCCACAGCGGTTATTGGTGGATGAAGGGTCAGCCTCGTGTGCGGATGCGCCCACTTGGCTGGATGTAGCAGGTCGGAAAGAGCTTTGTATGTGGGTTTGATTGTAAGCTGCATTTCAGGCATACAGTGATGTTGGTAGGAGCGGCATTCCCGGTCTCTGGGCCCATTTGCAGCTTCGAGCTGTAGGTGGTATGGAATTAGGTAAACTAGCAAGCAACATAAATTGCACAGCATGCCCTGCCAGTTTGGAAACGGTACTCCCTTTGCAATAAACAGGCAATAGTCGCAATGGCCTACCTGAAGTCAATCGCAGCAATTGCTGCATGCGCTGCGGCGGTTGAAGCAGCAGCCCTTCATCCTCGCACCAACAAGACGCTGGTTGATTCGGTACGAGCATGCGAATATCCATTTTATGAGTTGCTCTAACACAAATTATAGCAATCGCTCCGCGATACGATTGACATTGACAACTTGTATGCCAAGGCCGAGATTCTTCAGGAGATTGCCTACAACACACCTGGAAAGAACCGTGTGATTGGCAGCCAGGGCCACGAGGATACCGTGGAATACATCAAGGGCCAGCTCGAGGCATTCCCTGACTACTATGATGTGTACACTCAGGATGTGCCTCTTTCAATCGGAACCACTGCTACGCTCCGTGCAAACAACAACACCATTGAGGCTTTTGCAGTAACTCTGGCTCCGGGCGGCAACGTTACTGGACCGCTCGTTGCTATTCCCAACTTGGGCTGTGAAGAGGTAGGTTCATGTTTTCGACTATATACCCAAAGAACATATGAAGGAGCAAGACTAACATTGAAAAGGCGGATTTCCCAGAATCTCTCGAGGGCTCTGTAGCTTTGATCAAGCGTGGTACATGCTCTTACGGCGAAAAGGTGCAGATTGCTGCTGCCAAGGGAGCCTTGGGTGTAGTGGCATGGAACAATGCTGAGGGCACTCTTGAGGGCTACTCGCTCCAAGTATTGTATCCCAAGGGCAAGTTTGTTCCTGTAGCCGGCATCACCGTGGGCCAAGGAGAAGCGCTTCTTGCACAGCTGAACGCCGGTGTCAAGATCAACATCGACATGTCGACAGACGCCAAGGTGTTCAACACTCGCAACGTGATTGCGGAGACAAAGGCTGGCGACCACGACAACGTGATCCACGTCAGCGGCCATTCCGACTCGGTCACTGCTGGCCCCGGCATCAACGACAACGGATCAGGCACTATTTCCATTCTCGAGATTGCCATCCAACTGACCAACTTCACTGTCAACAACGCCGTGCGCTTCAGCTGGTGGACAGCAGAGGAAGCCGGTCTCCTCGGAGCCGAGTACTACGTGCACGAGCTTCCCCAAGCCGAGAAGGACAAAATCCGTCTTTTGCTCGACTTCGACATGATGGCCTCGCCCAACTTTGCCTACCAAATCTACGACGGCGACGGCTCGGCATACAACCTGACTGGACCGGTTGGCTCCGCCGAGGCCGAGCACGAGTTCGCCGCCTACTTTGACAGCATTGGTCTCAACCACACGGAGATTGAATTCGACGGCCGATCCGACTACGGTCCCTTCCTCGAGGCTGGCATTGCGTCTGGCGGCATTGCCGGTGGTGCCGAGGGCATCAAGACGGAAGAGGAGGCGGCCATGTTTGGCGGAGGCGCTGGCGTTCCTTACGACGTCAACTACCACGAGGATGGCGATACCGTCAACAACTTGAACCTCGAGGCGTGGATCGAGTTCACGAGGGCTATTGCGCATATGACGGCCAAGTATGCCGTCTCGTGGGACAGTATCCCGCCCAGGAACGCAACGGCGGCGCAGAAGCGGTCAGAGCGGTATGCCGAGTTCAAGCAGGCGTTCCAGAAGACAAAGAGGTACCAGAGGTGGGTATAGATTGTTTGCTCGACCTCGAGACTCTTTTTGAGTAGTTTATGAGCTTTTAGATACGAACTTTAATGTGGTTGAATATATCAGAAGAAATTTTTTCAAGATAATGTTTTGTGTGGTAAGCAAAGTGGATGAATGGTAGAAAAACGAGTTTTGTATGGGATTGCACATATTTATTCGCCGTTTACAAGACGGGGACGGGTTTGCTTTACTCTTCGTCGTCATCGTCAACTACGGGTACAGGCTCGTCCTTGCCAGTCTTCTTGACTTTGCGGTCCTTCTCAGCACCAGCAGGCTTGGCGTCCTTTGCTTTCTTCTTGTCGTCGTCGTCGTCCTCCTCATCGTCGACCTCGTCAGAAGCAGCATCCTCGTCGTCTTCGGCGCTCAGCTCAGCCTCTTCCTCCTCGCTCTCATCCTCGTCCTCGTCTTTGCTTTTGGCTTTGGTAGTGCGCTTGGCCTTTTTCTTTGGCGCTATAGGAAAAAAACAAAAATAGTAAGAAGAGAGTTACAGAGAAGGGGTCAAGGGACCGCCATGGGGTTACTCAGGATGACTTACGTGGCTCTTCCTCGTCCGAGTCGGCTGAATCAAAGTTTGAGCCTTCAGACTCTGCGTATCTGGATGGCTGGGTCAGTCTTGCTGTAGGTGTCGGATGCGCGCGCAAAGAGAATTGTTTCCATGAATTAGACAAAAAGTGCCATGATAGCCATGTCAAGTGTAGAGGCAAGGTGGGAGTGAGTTGATTGCTGCAGGAGGGAGGAAGGAGCCGGCTGCCGCTGACTCTAGGGCTGCGACTGCCTTTGGAGGCATGCGCAGCGACCAGACAACGTAGAGGTACAAATTCAAAACATCAATTCAAGGGTGCGCATATAGGCGATGACAATGAAGCCAAAACCATCGGATTGCGACGTGGTGGTTAGAGACATGACGTCAAGAAAGCGGCGACTTACTCTTCTTCTTCGTCGCTCTCATCGCTGGGGAGGGCAACGAGCTCCTCGTCGTCGTTCTTCCTCTTCCTGGTAGTCATGGCGCCGGACTAGTCTACGAAAGCAACAAAAAAGAGCTGGTACGTGGCAGGATAGTGGAACAGAAGTAGGAAGGGATCCAGAGATTGAGCAAGTTTGGGTGGCAGCAGGGAAAGAAAGCTATGGAGGTGAGCCTGGGGGCGGGGACCCAGGGCAACACAGACGGGGGCGCGGATGAAATAGCTGGCTGGGTACTCGGCCACGACGCACACACACACAGACACACACACACGCACACCTACGCAAGCCGCGCCCCCTTTACTTGCCCAAGAAGGAGGCTGGGAAGCGCAGGACAGGGCAGGCCGGGCGACTGCAGGCCTCTTTTGCTCCATCGCCCACCTCGGCCGCTTCGGGTACACGGCGAGGAGCCAATCATGGCGTGTGCCGTCATCACCTGCGTTCCGAGCCCGCCATGGACGACATCCAGGCGGTTGCTGCAGGTACCGCGTCCGAGGAGCTTTGGGCGACAGGCTGTTGTTGGGCTTGTATATGACACGGTGAAGTGCTGTCTGGATGGCGGTGAGGGCAATAAATGTGCTTACCAATGCCGTCTGTCCTGTGGCTATGTACGGATTATGTATGTATGTACGGCATGGCGAATGAGCGATATCTGGGTGCTCAAGGTAGCCCCCAAGGCAATGCTCCCACTCGCTGCAGAGCGGCAAGTTGGACTGTCTAGCGAAACACTAAGATAGGCCAGGAAACGTTTAATCTGTCACCTAGAAACATCTTGGGTATCCACACAGACGAAGCCGTCGAGATTGCAGCCGTTGGTCCGTATCCAAGTCGGCATGTTCGCAGCTCGAGGTGTAGCGTTCGTGGCCCAAATAGGCAACGAGCCCCACCTAATCGCACCAATCACCATCTGCTCTGCCCCGCCCGCAGTACCGCGTCTTATTCGCGCGCCATCTTGACTGTCTTTCTAGTATTTCCCCGACCAAATCTCGACTGTCTGTTCCCTACGCTCGTTTGACACCACACCACCACAGAACTGCGCTTGCCATGTCCGCGCCCCAGATTGCGAGGCCGGGCAGGGCCCCGCGCCTCTCCAGCCTGAACAAACCCGATTCCTACCAGTACCAGTCCTCCGCGACAAAACGAAGAGCCGCCGGCCCGCCCCAGCCCGTAAAACCCACCCAGCGCACCTACACCTGCTGCGAGGCACCCTTGATCAATGTCGCCGACGGCACCACCATGTGCTACAACTGCGGAAAAGTCCACGACGAGAGCCAAATTGTTTCCGAAGTCACTTTTGGCGAAACTTCGGGCGGAGCAGCCATCGTCGAGGGTGGCTTCATCCATGCCAACCAGCGACATGCCAACTCCATGGGCGGCACCATGCGGGGTCTTGGTGGCATGGAGAGTAGGGAGCAGGCTGCTATGAATGGCAAGAACGCAATTCAGGCCCTGGGTGCTTCTCTCAACCAGCGCGAGGCAGTCATAGAACAGGCTTTTAGTTGGTACAAACTCGCCATGAACCACAGGTTCATCCAGGGTCGCCGCATGAGAAACGTCGCCGCTGTCTCCATATACATGGCAGCCCGTAGGCAGCCCGAGAACACTCTCATGCTTATCGACTTGGCAGAGAAGATTCAAACAAACGTCTGGGCCCTGGGTGATACATACAAGCAGTTTTTGGAAATGCTTAAAGAGGAGGATCCTGCCCAGCTCGTTGGTAGCAAGGCTGTCCAGGAGATTGAACCCTTGATGTTGAAATACTGCCGGAAACTTGAGTTTGGAGACGACTCTCATAGGGTAGCTGATGATGCCTGCAAAGTCTTGAAGCGCATGAATCGCGACTGGATGGTGCAAGGTCGCCAGCCCGCTGGATTGTGTGGTGCTTGTATTATCATTGCTGCTCGCATGAACAACTTTCGTCGTACCATTCGTGAGGTTGTCTATGTTGTCAAGGTCGCCGATTCCACCATTACTTCCCGTCTATACGAATACAAGAGGACACAGAGTGCAGCTTTGACTGTCAACCAATTCCGAGAGTTTGCACCAAGACTAAAAGTCAAGGCTCAACCGCCTGCCATCTGGAGGCGCGCAGAAAAGGAGGAACGACAGGCGAAGAGAAGGAGACTGCTTGAAGGACACGATGACACTGCAGCATCTCTAGAGAACGAATCAGGAAGTGGTGAAGTAGAGACTGGCACATCTACAGCACCAACGCGGACAAGCAAGAGACAAAAGTCTAATGATGGTTCATCACAACCAGTTTCTACTCAGAGCGGAGATACAAGCACTCAGGGAAGTGGTATACCTGCAGAAGTCGAGGCTTTTGATGGCAATGCCGACGCAATGATTGATAGTGTTGCCACTGCACTTGAGGAAGTCGAAGCAGGAGAGGCCACCGATCCAGATTTTGTCATGCCCAAGAAGCGCGGTCGTCCACCCAAGAAGCGAGTACCCATTGCCATTCCCGAAGAAGATCTCGAAATCGAGCAAGACATTGAGGAAGAACTTACGAATGCCATCAAAGATTGGGAGTCCGTCTTCAAAGAATTTGCCAACAACGAAGACCACGATCTCCTCCGACGCTCCGGCTGGACCGCCGCCGAAATGGCACGCGCCGCCCAAGACAAACGCGACATACCCGTAAACACGAACCCAGAAATCGGCGAAGAAGAATTCGAAGACGACCCAGACGTCGCCACGTGCATCCTCGGCCCCGAGGAAGTCCGCCGCAAAGAAGCCATCTGGATCACAGAAAACGAAGAATGGCTCCGCGCCCAGCAAGAAAAGATGCTCCTCGCCGAACTCGAAGCCGCAGAAGACAAGCCCAAGAAACCGAAGCAAAAACGCAAACACCACCAAATGGGCGACGGCAGCGTCCTCGAGGGCCAACCTGCTACCAGCGCCGCAGACGCCGCGCACAAGATGCTCAAGAAACGCGCAAACAAGGCGTTTAGCAACCACATCAATTACGATAGGCTCAAGGAACTTTTTCCAGGCGGTGGAACAAATGCTTCGGCTAGTCCGGCGGATAGTGCCCAAGGTACTAGTCCGGTGAACAGGTCTCCGCCTGCTTCTGCTGTCCAGCACCCAGTTGCGGATAAGGATGCCCAGGGCGATGAAGAAGAAGAAGAGGAGGAAGAGGAAGAGGAAATGCTAGCGGAAGAAGAGGAAGAGGAAGATCTCGAGTATAACTATCGCGATGATGATGATGAGGGGTTCGGAAATGAGAGTTATGACTACTAAGGTTTTTAAATGTTTTTCTTTATGTCAGGATTTACATCCCAGCCTATTGGGCTTTTCTTCTTCTTCTTCTTCTTCTTCTTCTTCTTCTTCTTCTTCTTCTTCTTCCTCTTTTCTACGCCAATTGTTTTCAGAAAATGGGGGCTTGGGTCTGTATTTACAAATAGGTCTGTTTGGCCTAGTTTTTTTTCTTTTCTTACTTTGCATTAGCTATCGACGGAGTTTTCCATATCTCGGAGTTTGGCTCAACTGGTACATATCGGCATGTACATGCATATACATATACCCACCTACAGCGCTTCGGGCGAAGCATGTCATAGATTCCAATGAAGAAAAAAAAGGCATTTAGTCCTTTTTTTTCTCCCTCTTCCACTTCTGATCTTCCGCTCTATCATCAGCCGTGTACAATTCAAAAATCACACATTCAGTCATCGCTGTATCCAGGTCCTTTGCTGCATATTTTTTTGTTATAGGGGAGGAATTCCCAATGTTTCGATTGGTCCCTGCTTCATAACTCGTGACACGCATGCTCATGCTACCCTAGATTTTTCCCGCAATTCAATAAGAAGGATCCGAGCCCAGATCCACCGCACACCCACATACACCCCCCGTGTTATGACCAAAAACACTTGTCGAAAGTAAACAAAAAACGATTGAACGAGAAGAAAAAACAAAACGCCGGGTTTTACCGTTGTGCGAGCACAAGAGTCTATCGATCAAGAAAGCATGCACCAAGAAATCCCCATTTCTCTCTCTCTTTCTTTCTTGTTCCAAGACCTACAAACTTCGCGGTCTACTTGTACACATACACACATTGTCTAGCACATCTTGTACTGTGCCTCGCCAGCCGCCTGCCTGTGCATATCCTGGCTCTCGAGCTTGTAAGAGATGGTGATGTCCAAGTCGCGGTGGTTCTTCTCGCTGGGCTTGTTCTCCAGGGTACCGCTGATTGTCTCGCCCTCTTCGACAGTCAGGACGTCCTTGAGGTAGAAGACAGTCTGTTTCCAGTGCGTGTACTTTGTGTGAGGGCCGGTAGAGAAGCGAATGGGCTTGTGGCAGGCGGCAAACTCAATGTCGAACCAGGCAATGACGGCGTGAACAAAGTCGTTGCGGCGCACCTTGAGCTCGTACGGTAACCGGAATGCGAGGTCGGCAACGGTGCACGTGTAAAGGTCGAGAGTGATGACCGGTGAAGGGTCAGTAACGACGGCCTTGATGTCAACAGTGTCGACGAGAGGTTCAGTCATGGCAGTGGCTTTGAGTGGGGAGTAGTCGAAGCCCCAAACGTTGTCCCAGACTGATCTTGTTAGCATATCGGCAAAGTTCGGTGAGATTCGCCAGACTTACAGCCAATCTTCTCATCCTTGTACTCGCCATCTTCGATACCGGCCATGAAAATGGTGGCCTTGTCGGGGAAGATAAGGCCGTCCTTGACCAGGTACTTGTCGCGTGCATACAGGACAGTGTCCAACATGGACTCGTAGAGCAAGAAGTAGCCCATCCACTCGGATATTATTATGTCGACCTTGTCGAAGGGCAGGACAACCTCTTCCATCTTGCCTTGTAGCAGGGTGATCTTATCCGACAGGCCGTTTACCTCGACAATCTCCTTTGCCTTTTCGATAATGGTTGACATGTCAACACCGATAACGTGCTTTGCACCGGCCTTGGCGGCGAACCTATATCCCAGGTATCAGTGTGTGTTCGAGTATTGTGTGTTCAGGCGGGGGAGCGCGGACATGCTGAGGATGGAGGTACCGCATCCGACATCAAGGACGACCTTGTCCTTGAACAGGTGGGGGTTTTGGTAGATAGCGTCGCGGTAGCTCTTGGTTCGGACTTCATCTTTCTAGACGCGTAACATTAGCCAAGCTGCCTGTGGTCGTGACTGCAACCTTTGCTCGGGCAAGGAAGGAAGTGGGGCACACGTACCAGCATTTCCTCGTGGATGCCTTCACTCGCGCGTTAGTATCACTTTCATCAAGACATGGCATTCTTTACGGACCATGGTGGTTGTAACTGCGCAACACGGCGTTAGTAAAATGTATCTTTGGAGCGTCTGCGAGTGCCTACCTGTTGAAATAATGCGCCTCAGAGTGCGCCATGCCCGTGAGAGGGTCTTTCTTTCCGGTCTCTTGCTGGTTCGCCATGACGGGTGTAAAAGCTAAGAAATCTGAGAGTTGAGGGAGAGAATGTATGTAGGGTAAGAGAAGAGAGATTGGTTCTGCGATTGCCAAAAGGCAGGATATGGAAATTTTGGTTTTGGTAGAACCAGAAGCGCACAGACACTAATCACCAAGGGTCTCAAAGCGGGGCAAGACATTGAGAAGCTAGTCCGAGAGAAGCTTGACACCACGATGATTAGATTTTCTAGCGCCTTGCAGCGCTGTTTTTTTCCAGTACTAATACTAAGTTTGCATATTAAACAATGTGCACAAGTACGATGACAAGGGAATCCAAACAACAAGTTGCGCTAGCAGCAAAGGCCGATTGTCAATCAATTTGTTGGCCCAAGGAGGAAAAGTAGACCGAGTGGGGTATATCATGCCGAAAAGCAGAAGCCACCCTCATCGTAGTCGTCGTTTGCTCATCATTGTCGTCATAAAGTCATAGGTATTTTTGTTCGTAAAGTCGTCATCGTCGTCTCAGCGAGTGTTGAGCATGTCGGTGCAGACACGGGTCGACCAGCATGCCTCGTGTCCACTGTGTACATCTAGCAACCCTCAAGCCATGCCGATTCGATAGAAGCTCTCTCTGAATTGTTTTGCATCTGTCCTTTGAGTCAGCGACAAAATGAGTACACTAAAGTGGATCGTCATACCTTCAGGGGTCGTGAAAGTGAGCCGGTATTTGCCCGTAGGTCCCTTGGGTAGCCTGTAGCTGTCGCAGAACACGTACGGATGCAACTTTTCGAACTGTATCGTGTCGGGACTGACACGTTTCATCCAGTCCCTGCGTCCAACATACTGTGTAACGAAGGCAGTCCAGATGGGTATGGTGTTCATTGGACCTCGACGAGCAGTAGCCTCGAAACGCACGCAGCCCGCATCTTCATCATAGTAGATACGGAAAGCGTGTAGATATCTGCTGTCTGTAGTCTCACTGAGTCTTGTTAGAAATGATCAATACTGAAGATGCCATTGACAGCTTACCCGCTAAACATGATGCTCTCGGGCTCGAAAAAGTCGACAAGTCCCTCTGCAACAGCAGTTTGGTCTTGTCGTTTCATGGCAATGGCGGTGCAATAGAACAGAACCATACCTAGTTCATTGTCAGAAGAGCTTTACCATGACAGTATTTAATGTGCTTACGTTCGTAGAGGGGAAAGCGTAACCTAGCCCAGAGATCTAGTTGCCCATCGCGGCGATTGGCCCGACAGAGCAGTAGACATGAGCCGGCTCGCCGCAGAGCCAGCGCTGTGATTGGTATCTGATATCTCATGCGGCGGCCTTCAGAGTCCATGGAAAGGAACAGGATTCGCGCACGATTGTCTTCAGCTCTGCAGTACATCCTTACCCATACGTTGGTAGCCTCGAAAGGCAATTCCAACACTTTTTCAAACCCGTCGTCCTGCAACATTCCGATTACACGAGGTTCGTTTCTTCCAAAGCACTCAGTAGCCTCGCCTAGTGTCTGAAATGGTGTTGAGCCGTGGCGCCCATCAAATATCTTCATAGCCCAATGTGCAGCGGGCTCAGAATCGGTGGATTGACTCGAGTAGGCCTGTGATGATGCAGACGAGTGTGTGGGCGATTGAGGAATCTCTGGAACGGGTGGTGGGACAAAGGGTATATCTCCTATGCCACCCCATGTTGGGGCAATATGAGCTCGATGCGGTAGAGGCGATGACGGATGTGAGTAGTTGTAAGCGGCAACCGGATATGTAGGATGGCTGTGTATTTTAGGTCGGGAAACTCTGGGAGAAGATGGCTTTGGTGTTTTCGCACCACTTCTGCCGCTTCCTTGGACCGAAAGCTTGCTGAAGTATGATTCTATCGGCTTCTGTTTCTTGAGCAATTTGGATAATGAAACCTTGTAGTTTGCCAACTCAACGTCATTTTCCTCTCTACAACAAGTCAGCGGTGGTCACATGAACAACTCAATTCCATCACATACCCTTTTAATGTGTCGTGCATACCCTGCAGGTACATTCTGACTGCTTCGAACCTTTGTGGCAAGGACATGCCTTGTGTCTTGAAATCCGCAAGTGCATCTTCCCATATGATGGCGTAAGGCGGGGTGCCTGGGAAAGCACCCGGCGCCGCGTGTCGACTTCTCTTGGACTTGCTGAAGATGTCTTGTACGTCATCAAGTGTATGCCCCAGAGTTGGAAGACAAATCTCGAGATCTTTGATAATGTAGGTTGCGTATCCTCTGTAGTTGATGGACCTGAGTGCATCATCCAACTCACGCAGAGCGTGCGAAATGGCGTATAGCTCAGCCATGTAGCCTCTGATGTCCTTGCGATATTGGGGGATCTCGCCCTCGAAGCTGAGAAGGCCATTGGCGGTCTCTTCAGCCTCCTTGGCGTAGTCCAGTAGTCGCCAATCCATGGCGGAGGGTGAGCCGGGCATTATACAACCGAGAAGAGATGATTACAAGCAACGCATAGTTTGGATGTCAGAAAGTCGGTGGTGAAGAGACGGAGTGGCGTTTGAGCGATAACGCTATAAGGTGAGCGTCTGGGGTAGCCGTCTGGTGGCATGCGCGCTTGAAGAGGGTCGGCTCTTGACGTGGTTATGCAGCAGCAGCAGGCCGGTGAGAAAGCCAATGACTTGTGCCGACGAATTCCCTTACCAAGCCTGCATGTAACCCGCAATCTCGCTTCCTCTTTTGCACGCTTTGTCTGATCGTACAATCTGGCCCCCAAACCAAACTTTTTTCGACGTTCTTTGTTTTTACGCTCCGCGCAATTGTGTGCGCGGTAACGCCGAGCCAAAGTGCTATCGTGGGTGGTCGAAGACGCCACTCCTGCACACTCCTGCAGGGCTGCGCTGTCAGTAGGAGATGGATCGGCACACGCAGAGACAGTGATGGAGAATCGGCCGAAGTGTGCTGGTTATTTGAATCGATGACCTGGTCCGCTTGCGTGCTGCCTCGAGGCGCTGCCGGACGGTGTCCTGCCTGACATATCCCCACTCGTAGGCCGGACTAGTCCTGCAACGTAAGCAATGCGGTCAAACAATGATCAAGAGTCTGGTGTCCGAGGC